CCTATAAACAAGAGATAGCTTGTCGCATCGGATATTTGCTTAGCAATATGTGGTACCAATATGCAGTATACTCGGCGAGGCTTGAAGATGGCTATAAAGTGGAATATACGCGGATATATCTGCTGTACCTTGAATATCCGCAAAGGTTTATCCGCATGGCGCTTAAATCCAGGACCCGCTTATTTTAGACATTGTGGCGATGGTGTTGGATGACGTGATAGTCAGTATATATCCCTTGAAATATAATTATTTATAATAAGATAGTTGTATGTAAGCGGTTTATAACCAGGATTATTTATTTATACGAATATAAAAATTTAAGGAGGAAGTTCAACCTATGAATGGCCATAGATTCAAAATACGAATTTTGGCAGTTCTTATTTTGTTTACTTTTTATGAACTCTACTAAAATTTGAAAAGAGAATGTATTGAGTAAATACTACATATTTTTTTAATAATTATCTAATTAATATATCTAAATAATAATTAATAGAGGTATTCTAGAAAGATAAATTAATTAATAAATTAGACAAATAATTAGCGTTAAAATCAAATAAACAAACAAACTCACCTTCACATTAATATAAGTATGGATACACAGAACCATGGTAAAGAACATTATGGTTCAGATTATTTATTCAGTAAGATAAAATAGCACTAATATTAAAAAAGGAAAAAAAAGAAAAGTATCAGGATTTAATTAAGACAATTAGATCAAAGTTACCATTACTCAAAGACACACGGGCAAAATTCTTAACAGTATAGAGTCTAAACGAATTTTTGTGCAAACATTGTTGAATGTTTTTTTAATGTTAAACATTCGGACCTTAATTATATAAAATTGTAACTGTGTAAAACAATAAATCAAAATAAAGCCCCAGTATTTACTTATTGGCATCAGACCATCGTTACTAAGCTCAAACCTATGGACTCAACAAAACGAAGCAAAAGAACCCAATTTCGAAGGGATTCGAAATGGACTTCAAAAAGTTCCACTATCGATCTCTTGATTCGATTATTAGATCACCTCCAAGATGCCATTTGTAGTATTGTTACCAAAACTACAAACACGTACAAAGTTTGATTTTTATACAGTAATTTAAAGTATAATAAAAATAATACACACAAAAAAAGGCAAAACCGACTTCAAAAGGCACTTCACAAACACAGTTCATGATATTACAGATATCTTAAAATCGTTTTGCTAAATCGATACTACCATTATCAAGTGATGCGCTCCTAAGCGAACAACTTCTCATATTTATTTGAACAGATAACAGAAAAATAAAATAAATAAATTTATTTCAAGAATTGCAAGCTGAATTTGCAATTGAGGTGTATAAGTAGTAGTAGCTTTCGTATTGAAAATCAAGTAATTAAACTACATATACCTACTATTCAAGAACTAGGTAACCATTACTTATCTATGTACATGATCAGCCGTGTTACAGCTATGCTTCCGTAGATCCGTGACTTTGGAAGGTATTAACCCTTAGTATTATATATATATACCCTTAGTATATATTAACCCTTCCCGGGTTAATACTATGACAATGCACCAATGATACTTACCATCAAGTGACCCGTCTGTTTTGTTTGTTGTAGTCGTCAAAGCCTACCAATATTATACAGCCGAATCTAAACTCCTGTATCAAAATATACCATTTCTGACAAAACGCATTTAACCTTCACACAGAACGAGATTGTTACCTTCATGAATTTTTATGGGCGCCATTAGATGTGTGTGTTCGTATACTGTTTAGACCAATCTCAAAGATTATCGTGATAATATATGTTATTGACAGTACAAGGATAGATTGTATCGAAAACTGCTTTCATATATTGCCAACGCGAGTAAAGAAATAGTTACATATTTATTGGTAGTTTACGGAAATAAATGATATGTTTATAAAGAATATTTGGTAGTAAGTCTTAAGCTTTACAAAGGCAGGATAGTAATGGTACTAAGCTTTATTCGTAAGGTTTTACTATTGAGATAAAATACTGTTTTATACGTTTCATGTTACATTCTTTAGAAAAAAGTACAACCGGATTATTTTCAGCTAAATTAAAGAAGATCTTCCTTAGCTTTAGCTGTTCCTTAACTAAATACATGTTACATTGGACAAATTTATAAGTAAGTATGTGTAATGTAATTTTAAGATAAAATGGTCAATATACTCAATACTTAAAATCAGTTAATAAATCACTTACATATCCCGCAGATGTCTTCTAAGATGTTCCAATTGAAAATATTCCAGAAAATATATATTTAAACAGTAAATAAATTTTTTCACCTTACGCCCATGGTGTAGACTATATTATTATGTAGGCTTGTGGAGTTAATGCGCGTAGAGTTAGAAAATTGGCTGTACATTAGATTTGACGCGATTATATTCAGAGTGCGTAATACGCGTATGCCCCATAACCCCTGTAGGAGATTTACTGTGGGGTCCTCAGTAAATCTCCTATAATGCATTGCTATGAGGCATTAAAGAAAAGCAATGATTAAAATTAAAAATAATTAAATGTCAAAAAGTCTTAGTCAGTAACATGACTTATGTTTAAAGGTATTAAATATTTTGTATGATGATCAGTAAAACATTAAGGATTAACGATGAACTTGATATCTTAAAAATTTTCTTGTTGCAGTGTTTCTTAGGGTTTACTGCGTCTTAATTCCTTTTATCCACTTTGATTGCCATCACAACCGTCTTAGTGAACCAACCGTGTTGTATCAACCAATCTACTGGAACCAATTCTTATTCAATTCATTCAGACCTAAACTTTTGTTATAATTTAATTTCACAAAGAATATAAGTTTCAATATTTTTCATTTTCATCTTGAAATGAAATATTGGCACCTTACGATAAAATATTAAATTCAGTTCTAAGATTCGAGCATCTATGTAAGCATTTGTAGAACATTGTCGTGTCGAATCTTAACCGATCTGTTGGATGTTTCATGAATATGTATGAAGAGGTTAGCCATAAGACAGTCCCTGGCTACGGCCTCGACGGTCGAATGCAAGACAAATAGACTATAAATACGTATTTCCAGTGTCGTACGTAGCTGATAATTGTGTATATCTATAGGAATATGGACGTTTACAAATAGTGATATCTAAATGCAAATTTCATTTGAAACATTTCTGAGTCTACCATGAATTCTGTCTTCGGAGTAGGTGAAGTATAACTGTCCGCCATTAGCTTTTATTATTATACAATCCACTGTCGTTAAAAATTTGATACCTTAGATCTGTCAATTAGCGGTACTTCTAACCTTTGTAAAAAAAAATACAGTAGCGTTTACTTAGTATTGTAAGATTGGGATATTAAAAATATGAAATACTGAAATGATATTAGATTAATCTTTGATCTGATACGCAGGAGCTCGAAGAGACCGGAATCACATGTCTGTACGTCCGTCCTGAGATGTCTTAGCTTAGAATTAAATGAGAATACTTTTATTATCATCATCAGCCTATCGCAGTCCACTGCTGGACATAGGCCTCTCCCATTGCACGCAACTTAGATCGATTTTGGGCTTCTCGCATCCAGCTCCTGCCAGCCATCTTGCTCAAATCGTCACTCCACCTGGCCTGTGGGCGTCTTACTTTTATTATAAAACAGATTATTATTATATGATACAATCACTCGAATAATTGTAAGAATTTAACAGATTTCATACAATAAGCCCGCATGTGCTTTGCTAATACTTTTTCTTAATTGCTAGACTTCCATGTTCTGAGTTGTCTGTGTTTAAATACTGTAAAAGTGTGGTTCCTAATGACTATCGGTATTTGAAATCAATTAACTGCATGAGTGGCGTAGTAGTTTAAGAGGTCACAATGCCGCCTCCTACACCGCTAAGTGTTGTGAGTCCCACATGGGACGGCACTTTATGTGACCCACAAATTGTTGTTCTGAATCTGGGTGTCCTTTGTGTCCTTTTCATGTAAATTTGTAAAGTCCCCCGCGACACAGGATGCATGCCTATTATAAAAATATGGGTAAAATTGGTGTTAGTACATCTTGAGCAATAATACGATAGACCTGGGCCCCAATTCCGCTATTTTAATATTGTATCAATAGAGTGTCGATGGAGTGTCGTCGGAATAGTTTGGCACTTTTCGTAATCTGCTAACTAAATAAAGACCAATGGCCTCCCGATGACTTGTCACTGATACAAAATGTTTTCGATGTCTGTTCAATAGTTTGCTAAACGGTAGTCTACAAGTGTTTGACAGAATTGACAGTTGTTTCAATGACACCACGATGGCTTCGGAGTGAATAATATTGTTGTTAAACTATCATTGATCTGCCATCAAGCAGTCACTGCTTTTTTGAGAGTGTTATGTGCGTATTTAGTTATTTACGTTAATTCAATAAATAAGTAATTAAAGTGCGTAAACAAATATGCCTCAACTTGCAACGGAGGCAAATATTAGAAGCTGCTTACAACGAAGATCGTCGAGTTAAAGAGGTTTGAAATCGCCAATGAGCTCGTGGTTTGTCGAGACAAAGTGGTAAATATTAGACATAATATGCGAGGACACATTTATAAAAGTGTTTAGGCTAACAAAAAGCCTTGTGGAGAAGATATCAGCATTATTCCTTCAGACAAAGGTAAAGTTAATAATATGAAAACAAATGTTCTATTGGTAATTTATGTTTCAGTTAAATTAACTTTACAGTTTTCTGATATCTACTTTGTATTTCAGCTTCTGATATCATTTTAAATGCCAGGATCATATCAAACCCAAGTGCATTCCAAAATGTTTACAAACTATTAGACAAGTGACCAAGGCATTGAATCATCCTACCATCATACAGAATCATCAAGAAAGAAATGACATAAATGCCAAGTAAGTATATACCTTTAACATTTTAATTTATCTAAGTGGAACAACTTACAAGACAATATCTATAATAATTATATCTTAATAATTTCTTTAAGAGACAATAAAGCCGGTGCCACTTATCTATAATATTTCATAATGAATAAAAAACTATTAAATCCCATAAAACTTTACCTAAGAGATGATTGCCTCTTGGTGAAATATGTAATGAAGGCTGAAGGGTCAGTGTTGACAATGTACACCTTCCTATTAAATTAAATGTTTATTTTTACCAATTTATTTATAAGTGATCAATTTTTCAGTTTACTTAATGTTAACAATAATTTATAGGTATGTGATTCTGATCTTAACATCATGTGTGTCCGGGCCAATATCCCTGATGCAGCCCATGACTCCGGTAATCCACAGCCAACACTTAATGGGTTTAGCTGGTCCCGGTGAAGATCATTCATTTTTAGCAGGTGAGTACATGGGACTTTATGATGGTAGTTACCTACCTAATAACTTTGACTAAAACAAAATAAATTCATTTTATTTTGGTTTAAGCTTAATACCCTATTTGTTGGAATAACATGTACTAGTCTAGAAACCATTTGTATAATATTTCAGTTTTGTATTAGTCAATTAGTAGCCAAGTAGTTTTAAAAATGTATTGTTATTATTTTAAAGAATTTATTACAAAATGTTAAAATTTCTTTGTGATACACCTTGTGCAAGTGGTTGATCACTCCAGCTTTAAACAACATTGAAAGAACTGCAGAGCATTACTATTATAATTTGCATGTCACCCAATACTGTTGAGCGCTGTATTGGGATGTTTAAACACTACAGACACTGAGTACACATATTGATGAAATTTACTCCATCAAATGAATCTATCATGACAAATTAACTCTATCATGTTTTTTGACATATTAATAATAATAATTATAGATTTTAAAGCAGCGGCTCAATGAATGAAATACTTATTATTTTGTGTGCTATCAAAAAAGGAAAAGTAAAAGAAAACAACATAGTCATTGAATTTTTTTTTATTTGAGTTACAGGATGTTACATTTCTGAAAAAAAAGAAAATGTTACTACAATATATAATTCACAATATTTATTTTCAGGCTTGCTGCTCAAGTACTTCACTTCCAAATATAGCAAGGGCACATGCACAACATTCGGCACACCTTCTAAATGTTTCCCCAATATCTCGGTCCATAATATAATATAACCACTCTTATAGTGGTGTCAAGGTGATGAGAGTTGCTGGGCCATCTCCTGAAAACAATGAAGATCATCTTAGGAAAACAAAATATATTATACTAGTTTCACAATAAAAGTTATGTATATTTACCATTGTTATTATTTTATTTTTATAAAGTTCATCACAGATATTTGTTTTTTATTTTCTCTATGTTCTTTGCTTTTTAATTTGTATTTTTTATAAACCTCAAAAGAATAAAATAAATATTAACTTTTAATAGGATATTATTAAAATAAAGAAAGCCTGTTGAAATTAGCAGACAACGTAGTGGACTATTTGCCCTAACTTATTTCGTTATTGCCTTCTCATAAAGAAAGAGATTGGTGGAGGGGTGCCTAGAAGAATAGAACAAATGTAAATTAATACTCACTACTTTCTACTCTGGCAGTCAAGCGAAACACCATATATTTGCGCACTCCGTCCATAATTGCTTCGCCAGACTGCATCCTGTTTTGAACCAGGAACATCAAACGCATCTAATTGTATCTCACTCGCCATTTCTGCAACGAATTTAGGAGTTTGAATTACAAAAATTCAAAGTAAAGACAATGATGCACTATGGAGTGTTAAACTATAATTTTATTAATATATTTCTTTGCAGAAATAGATAATACAATTTTATATAATCCATAACATCTAAAAAATACGAAAGTAAGTACTTACTATTTCTTTAGAAAGCATTTTAAATTTGCTGGTCCGTTCCATCAATGATAGATAAGTCAGTGACACTTTTTTCGTTTGGCAATAGCACTTACAAACAGCCAACGATAATTTTATTAATTACGGTGTATAATGTCGTTGTAGTTTATACATTTTTACCAATAAATATGATAAATGCATAACAACTTCATGTACCAAAATAAAAAAAACGTAATACATTTTCAAATTATAATTAAATGATTTATTTATTTTTCCAAACATGGCAATCTTTTTGATATCACCACTGATGAGCCATTACCATTCCATTGCCACTGTAAAGACACTGAGTTAGTGCAGAATACCGAAAATTAATACCGATGCCAATGGCCACTCGATGGCATCTCAAAAGCGTGTCAGTGATATGACAGTGGCTTTGCGTAAACATAAAATAGCAGAATTGAGGCCCTGGAAGTAAATAGATATTGTGCATTCATGTTTAGTGTCAGAGCCAAATTCGTCATTGATATTACATACAATGCTGTGTAAAAATTAAATAGACAATGTTAAAAGTAAATGTATTGGATGTATGTATGCTTTTAACATGGTGACATACACTGACGTCTTTCATCCCCGAAGGGATTGATAGGCGTGTGGCGACTTCCAAAAACTTGTTACAGCGCCATCTCACCTCATCTCATCTCATCTCTATTACCGAATATCATATTTAGACCTTTAATCGTTGGGCCGCGGCCCGCCAGGCATGATCACCTCACCTGGGCGGAGGATCCTCCTATTGCGTGCGTGGGACATGACACCCGTTTCTCCATAGGCATATTAAACTCCCACATTGAGCCGACTAGAATTTTAGTCAGATTTACTCGTACTTAACAAGTCCATTCCCGGCAACCGGGCATTTACCTATGTATATTTCTAAATAAACATACTTAAATATTTTTAAATACCTACGTAAATATTATAATACATTGGTCAATTACACTAAGTCGCATTGAGAGCGTGATCATCACATAATGTTTGTCCTGGATAAAAATGGAACCCACGATCTCTTGCCGACCCGTTCGTTCACCATTAAAACGAAGTCATTAAAAAGCTGTTTTATTTTTTAAGTCTGAAAAAAGTTTTGCAGTATACTTCACGATAATTGATGTCTTTAAAACTCTATAAAAAGGTTCTAAATACTCTACCTGTTACTGTACTGAAAGAAACAACTTTATGATTTGCGTTGTCAGCGAGTCGGACTACGACCCCTATATTTTTACAGGCTCTGTAGTTACCGAGTTATACTCGTAGCTCCTCGGATGTTACAAGCATTTATAGGTCAAGGTCACGGCTGGACATCGAATAGGCGGAATGCGTCGTCGCTTTAGGTACAATGAGCTGAAGTGTAAAAGTATAGATAATAAAGGAAAATTAGCAGTAAAAATAAGGCCCTTCGAGTTGAGGTACTATTTAAAAATATTTTTGGTGTAACAAAAGGTGTGTTTGTTAGGTATCACTATTTATAACTAATTGCCATACGAAGGAGTTTTTACCTTTTTTATGATATGGATGCACCATTTCCAGAACTAGGGAGAGGAACACTCATAAGGTAACCTCATCAGGTGAGAATCAACGGAAGAATTGTATAACACGCTGGTAGAGCCTGCCCTATGTGCTGAAGTATGACTCGCCCACGATGATAATGAGTTCCGAATTGGATAATGGATTTGTAATACAGCATATACTAAAGCTACCTAGGAATGCCATAACGCTGTGTGCCGGAATTACTAAATGCTTTGACGGCAGTTATGGAGTATTAAATGTAATTTAATTTAGTCTAGAATATTTTAAAGTGCTAGGTTTATTTTATAAAGATTTTATTTTAAATAAATACTGTATGCAACCTCTATCTTATACTGAACTATAAATTATAAATTCAATTGTTGGACTGACTTGTGATTGTTGTCTTATGTAAAGGAAAACAAAAGTGCTGGCCATATTTTCTGGAATATTTTAACAAACATGTCATAAATGTCTAGACAAATTTTCTTTATACCTAAGTTATTCTTAAGCAAGGACTTAGATACAACATTGTACATGCATTGCATCGCTTAGCTAAGTCTGGTAACTTTGTGTATAACTTATAATTGGACCATAGGGATGCCGAGAGGTTTTGTCTCAACTTTGAATAGCTAAGTTTGAGAATGACCGTACTCCAACGATGGCTTGACGTCTTAGAATTATTAGTTTGAAAAGGCTGTGTTGACACTTTGAGCAAACAGTAAAATTCATGTGATGTGCGTGTTTCAATGTAGTACTTTCTGGATTATATTAAGTGATAAATATAAAGATAATTTTTTTATCACACATAGCTCTCTCTCTCTCTCTTTCTTTCTCTCTCTCTCTCTCTCTCTCTCTCTCTGTCTTTCTCTGTGGAAGTGTGTGTGTGCTGTATGTGGGGTAGGGTATAAATATAGTAGATGAATAAAAAAGTATTCAAACAAGTAGATTTATTTTATGGAAAAGGGGGTAGACGAGCAGACGGGTCACCTGATGGAAAGTGACTACAGCCCATAAACGCCTGCAACACTTGAGTCACAAACGCATTGCCGGCCTTTTAGAGAGGTGTGTATTTAAAAGAAAAAGGAGAGTTATTCTATTTTTGAAGTCATCTGCATTTCTGGTTTTATCTCCCAATGGTAACGGAACGTTCAATATCAAACTTTAATATAGCCAACAGCACTTTTTTGATATACTCTTGGCACAATGCTAAGTGATCCTGACTGTTATGCAAGATGCACGACGTCTGACTTCTGGATTCAAAATGGATTCCATTGAGGAGAAATAATTGTTCGACAAACACGGTTAGTTGCTCCGTGTCTGAGTGTTATCTATCTATAATATGTACGTATGTAGAAATATGTAAGTATGTTTATTAACAACCTGGTTACAATTAGTACCAGCTCTGGCTTTTTCTTCATGTGTGATGTGATAAATAATTATTATGTACTGCCTTACCTGCAGGTGTTTTACATTTTTCATTAATGTTACTAAGCTACTTAAAAACTGCTAATTAATTTGGTTATATATTTCTTAAGCAGTATTTTATATCGCTAACTGTCTTACTAATTATGTTGAGATAATATTCGCGTTTCCATCAAGAAGTTTGCTTTTACCGTAACAAGTTCATCAATAATTTATCTCAACGTAATTTGTATTTATGGTTGAATGAAACTGGAATACATCTAGATGGTTCTTCATATATTTTAGAAGTGCCTGGAACTAATTCAATAGCTAATAAATTACCTATAAATAATTACTGTCATTGTCTTCCTTTCTTAGTTATCTTTCAATAATACTGTCAACTTTGACGTTTAATTCCCAACGTGCAATGTATGGATATCAATAGTTTCTCTAGTCCACTAAAGCACTTACGTAATAGGGACAAACTCATTATCACCTCTGCCCACTCTTTCGATGGTACAGGCGTGAGATTATGTATGTATTATATGTGAATCAATTCACTTAAAAACTATTAATTTTATGACCTCGTGGTTTGTAAGATATCAGATCAAAACTAACAAGACTCAGAGATTTTAGAAAACGCAACGCAAGGACATACTCAAAGTTTGCCACTGTGCTGACATGAGCACACATCTTAGCGATTTGTTTGACTTGACAGTGTTTAATGTTTAGTAATACTATAAATTTACCGTAGTAATACTATTTATTGTCCGTGTGGTGACGGATTAAGAATACAGAGTGTCACCACCCCTATTCGTTCCGTGGGTGTCGTAAGAGGCGAGTAAGGAACTAAACTACAGCAGGACTACAGCACTGCAGAGAGAAGGAACACTTGAAACAAACCCTATACCAACCCGTCTGGCCAGCGTGGTATAGTAGGCCAAAACCTCCTTTCTAAGGAGAGGCCTATGTTCAGCAGTGGACTAGTAAAGGCTGTTGATGTGATGATGTGATGTGATAAATTTAAGCACTATGCAGACGCATCAAAGTACAAAGATGGGGAGGAGTTTTACTACCCGCACTATAGCAGTAATCAGAGAGAGCTAGCACGACAGAGATTTATATTACAATGTTATGACCCTATTGACAATACTTTGATTTTAGTTGAAATTTTATAATAGAAACAACACGTCAATCACAAGAGAATTTAATGAGGAAATATTGATTTCTACTCAAAAATTTGTTAAGACCACATTTCAACGATAAAATTTAAGCAGTATTCGGATTCAGTGCCTCTTGTAATTGTTTTCTTAACAATTTGACAGATGTCAAAATGGTTACTGACACCGGAATTGTCATGTTCTACC